CGAACCGTTGGCATCCGGTCGATGTAGGCTTCAGGTACAAAGTTGGTCTCATCAGACTCCACCTGGGCTTTCCTCTTCTCAAGGGTACCAGGGCTTTTTCGTTGGCCGGGTTGTCCAGTCCTGCCAATGGAGGCAAGCTTCCTCACCTTCTTTGGAGGTCTCTGGAACCCTACAAACAAAGCAAACAGGTTCTCCTCTTCTTGGTTCAGCTCTTTTTCAACTTTCTGGAAGAACTCCACACAAAGCCACACAATCAAACTCACGTCCAATTTTTTTAGTTTAAGCAGACAAAATCCCTATGGAAGTTATGCAAAAACAGACTCTGAGATAAGTAGCAAAAATTACTACCACTATTTGTATGCTGTGTTGGTATCAAGGGGAGAGAAAATGTGACAAGTGCCCTGGCGAGCTGGAGTCGGGACTTTATCACTTTGGGATTTAGGTTGGACTTTCTCTAACGACGTGACGTGCATGGGGAGTCTCATGACGCTGTAGGTCACAGCCCTGGCCGTGCTGTAATGCCTCCCTGCTGTTGCTGTCGTGTTTTTTATGAGTCAGCTCTGAAAGATCTCCTTGGTCTTCCAGCTGCTTGAGTAATTCCCTGTGGTCTAAGATAGTTTTGCTTAAGCTGTGAGCCACCCTTACAAATAATGGTTCCATTCTGCCGCAGCACAGAAGATAACAAAGTGTTGTTTTTTTCTTTCTTGGCGCGAGGGGAATGATACTGACAATAGTTAGACTTGAGTGTGTGGCGGAGACATGGAGCTCGCGGTGTAGGAAGAGCGTCCTGATTTCGTTCAGGTCTGTGGAGCAGTTCCCCGGGTGAATTTATCCTCACCATATTTCGTGTTTTTGCTCCTGATACACTTATGTTTTTGCTCCTGATACACTTATTTCAAGTCACTTTCTTAATCGCTTCCTAGTTAAGGATTTTTAGAGAGTTAAGGATTTGAAATCTTATTCTCTAATATGTACTGAAGTTTTATATACTTTTTAAGTATGGTAATATATTTTCATACTTTTTTCTCCTTTAATGTCCTCTGCACCGGAGTGAAGGATTTGTATTCAACAAGGATTGCAGTCATGGAACACTGGGTTAGGGAAAGTATAGGGTGTGGGGGGGGGGCGGAGGAGGGTGGGAGGGAGAGAGAAAGGGCTAGATAGAATGATCACCATTCGTTTTGATGGTTTAAAAGTTATGTACTGGCATTATCTCAATAAGAACTCCATTGCCTTGTGACCTTTCTTTGTTTCTGGAGATGTGACTCTCATTTCGGTAAGGCATATCATATTGCTAAATCTGACGTCAAGATGAAAATCATTGCATGTGATTCAAGCCAATAAATGGCAGGGCACTTATCTAAATGTATTTGGTGGATGATTGCCTAGGAAGGCTCTGTGAGAGGTTTTTTGAAGATGAGCTCAAAGTACAGTGTTTATTTGATTGAGGTTCTTCCACCACACCACAGTCTTTTAAGTGATGTCTTGTTCTTCGTTCCCCTCCTTCAAAGGTATATGGACCTAATCTGTTCCAGACTGTTCCTCCATACTTTGTAGTGAGTTGTCAGATACTCACTGCAGTAGTTGAACACCTTTAATACGTCTTTCAAGAAAGGATGGCATTTGTGAAAAAGTTGTCTTATTTTTCTAGCAAGATAAACATTATTTATGCTGTGCTATGGAAAATAAACATTGATACTTATCTTTCTGTATAATATGAGAATAAATGATTCCACTAAAATAGAAATAGATGCTTTTTAAAGTGAGCTAGTATAAAAACATAGGTCATGGATATAATCTGAAAAGGTTCTAGCCAGTAGTTGGTTTCTGTTTTTGCAGAAACCCAGTGTGGCAATGAGAGATCACTTGTGTTGTTGAGAAATCATTGCACAAGAGTCTTTAATTCAAATTTGTGTGTTATTTTTCAAGTTAATTTCAGACTGTTGGAGAATAATCTACGTGTGAGATCAGGATTGTGAAATTAATGCTTCCATTTATGTGACCTTATGTGAACACTGAAGGTCTTCATTTTTCACTTTGACAAATGAGGGTAGAATAGAAATCTCTCAAACCCTATCTGATGTTATTAAATATGTCAAATTCTTTGCTTCTGTGGCTAGGCATAGTGAACTAAAGTAGCAAAGTGTTTCAGAAGGGGTTAGAGATACCTATTATCTAAATTGCTTTCCCTGCAATGCCCTTTTTATCCCCTTTCTCTTTGACCAGTTTCATACCGGGGATCGAACCGGTGCTGCGGAGGCTGCGGGCAGCTTCACAGCCCAGCGCTCAACCACTGTGCCACCAGGGGAGGCCCTGCTTTTAAAGTTATTTTATGTTCCAGAGGTGATATGTCCTTCACTTTAACAGCACAAATAATGTAGGAAATGGATGGTATTTCTTGTTCAGCAATCAGAAAAATTCGTAATATTTTGCCTCCTCTTTGACTCTCGGGGTCTGAGCTAGGCACTCGCTCACACAGAATTTCCATCAGAGAAGATGAAAGATGCAGGTGCACTTTTACAGGGAACATTATCTGGTAGCCTGTTATTCGAATAACATTTTGAAAGACTGCATTAGAGAGACAATTAATATGGGGAGAAGGTAGAAAATGAGGGAGAAAGCCCAGGTTTGTTCATGTATTTGTATGATTTCATCAGTTGCCCATCTCAGAAAATAAAATATGTCTTAAGAAGAAATAATTCAGTAAAAAGAGAAAAACTGAAAATAAAACCTTGATGTATTGGTAAATTCGGGAATCTAGTTTGCAATCTCTCTCCCTCTCCATCTCTCTCCACCCTATGAGAGAGAAAGAGAGAATGGCTGTCACCGCTACTGGTAACATCTCATTAAATATTGTGCGTACTTACTGAGTACGTCTTGCATTCATTCAAATATCTGTTTCTTCAATAAACAACAAAAAAAAAAAATAAATCTTTACAGCTTCATCATGGCCTGCAGTTGAGTCTTGGCTCAAGATATAGTTGGCTTTAGGTTTATATGGATGAATTGTGCATTAGTTTAACACCGGGATTATAGTTGTTTTTATTGTTGTTGTTGTTGTTGTCTTGGAGAGAGAAAAAATAGAAATATATTAAATTTCTTTCCATTCAGGGTCTTTTAAAATCCTTATCTTGATGATTTTACTCATCATCTCAGTGGTGATAGTTATTATTTGGATGATTTGATAGTCACATGGGTTTACTCAACCTAAACCTTTGAGTGGATGAGAATCATTTTATTGGAACAACACTGCAACAGAGGAGGAAAAAAAGTGGCATCATTCGGATTTCTTTAAGAAAACCCCTGGGTGTTGGACAAAGCTATACAAAACATTGTCCATCACCTGCTTTCACACCAAGCACAGGCGCTCGCTCCTTGGCTCTGTTTTGCTGTTGCTGATATAGTTGTGTGTTTCCCTGATGTAAGCCCACCTCCATGTGTTTGTAGTGTCTGATAAACTGATTCTCCAAATACTTAGGGAACAGACTTTGAGTTTGAGGAACAATTTCCCTTTGGTTGCATTTGGTTGTGTCACATTCCTTTTCCTCCTCTGCCTTTCTAAAAGGTCGCTCTCCATAGAGAAATTGAATGGTTCCTGCATTTGGGATTTTGCTTCAGCACAGCCAGCTTGTGCTGAAGATCTGGAGAGCATGGCTGGAGTCCCCGGTGAGTGATGACCTTTGTTACAGTGAAAAGAGATGTGGGCTTTTTCTTATGAAATCCCCCTAGAATGTCAGTTCACTTTATGGCTTTTCTACTTTGGAAAAGCTAAAAACCTTATGGTGAAACTTCAAATCTAGAAAATTGTTAAGATAATTAAGTGCCATTTGAATTTTAATTCAAAATCAGTTTCTTTTAAATACCCCCAAAATTGATGTTGATGACAAGTTTTTTAGAAATGAGAATAATCATGATTGATCATGTCATAGTAGTGTACTTCTTTTTACATACTTTTTTCAAATTGCAAGTTACTGCATGTTAACACACATACATACAACACACGATTCTCACTCCCTTACACATTGCAGCCGCCTTCCCATCAGCACGCGCACAAGCATGCAGCTCCCACTTTCTTTTATTTATTCATTTCCTGGTCCCTTATTTAAGTTTTCTAGATTCCTGCTATGAGTGAGACCATCCGGTATTTTTCTTTTAAAGAAATGCCTCTTTGAGCATGCTTTTAACTGGGCTTTGAAAAGGCAGGTGATGTACAGTTCCTATTATTCTAGGGGAGCTTTCCGGGGAAGGAGACCTTAAGCATCTTTAAGGTCCACGAAGTCCGCCGGCTCCTCCGACTTCAGACGCTAACCCCCGCGCCGCCAGCCGGCCTTCGCCGAGATTTGAGACGCCACGCCCTCGCGCACGCGCACTGCTCACCCTCTGGCGGCTTCATCTCTGTGCGCAGGCTCAGTGACGCCATTTTTTTCTGAGGCGCGCACGCGCACTTGCGCGTAGCGGCGTCGCTTGGCTACAGCTATCCTAGTCTGAAAGATTTAAAGCCGCCGCCGCCGGGACTGCGGTGACCGCCGCGGCGACAGCCGGTTGGCTTCTCTGTGGACGGGGATTGAGCCCTGGGGGCGGAGGAAAGCCACGGCGGCGGCGAGGAGATTCTGACGCGATGAAGAAGATTTTTGGCGTTAGGCGCGGGAAGGGCGCGTGGCGCCGGGCTCCTCCTCCAGCGCGCAGAGCGGCGCCGCGGGGTCCAGGCCGTCGCCCCGAGGCCGCCCGGGTCCTGCGCCCGCGCCCGGGCCCTCGGGAAGATCCACTGGGCCGCGAGCGCGGCGACGTGGCCGCGGGGCAGCAGCTGCTTCTGCTGGGGAAAAACGGCGTGAACGATCGGGCAGGATGTCCAGGCCACGGGGCAGCGGGCCGGCCCCGGGGCGGGAGGACCCGGGAGACGCGCGCACGTTCCCGGCCCGGCGGGGCCCGGCCTGTCCCCGCGGGCCCGGCCGTCCTCGCGCCGACGCTCGGCAGCCGCTGCCCTGGAGCCGCCGCGGGGCCGCGCCCGCCCGTGGGGGAGAACAGCCCCGCCGGCGCTCGCGCCCTTTGCGTCCACTCAGCACTACCTTTACTGACAATTTTAGAAAGATGCAGCTAGTATCAGTTAGAAGAGTCGTGTGCAACAGTTTATTTTTGCTGTTTGCTTTTTCATGCCAGAATATTCCATACTGTAGAAAAGCGCAGAATGAGAGCGACTGTTCCCATCCTCGAGCAACGCCCAGGCTAGATGCGCTTCGGATGAACTCCAGGACCCACCTGGTGTCAGCCTGTACCTATTTCTATGTGTTCTTATGGAGCGACCTTAAAGGGAAACTTTGAAGGGGGAAGATGGCCCTGGCTTCTTGAACAGAAAATGTCATTTTCTCTAAGTGCGAGTTCTTCCTGGTATTTATCAATTTTATATAAACCCAACAAAAAAATTAAGGTTTTAAAAAATTTGAGTTACATGTGCTGTCTTTTACTGTTGTGATGAAACTTACAAAAGTTTTGTAAGGTAGACAGAAGCTTGCCTTCTGGATATCAAAATGTGGTATAAATTTCCACTGACTAGTAATTAGTTCACAACTGAAAATACACATAAATAAATGGAACAGTATAGAAGATGCCCAAAAATCCAAATGCATCTGAATTTACTGGTGAAATATTATAATGGTGAAATACCAGCTAATTGTGTTTGGAAGAAACTAACTAGATTTTTTCAATCTCATAAAAATAAGTTCTAGATCAAATAGAAATTAAAAATGTTAAATATACAAAATGAGAAAAGCACCAGAAGGAAACACAATGTGTATTTGTTCATTTTTTATGTTGTCCAGGACCTTCCTAAGAATGACTTCAAGAGGAAGAAGTTTGATTCAGTAACATAAAAAAAATAAAGCTCTCTGTATATCAAATCATATTAACCAAATAAAAATGTCTACAGCATATATGTATCAGATGAAAAATATGTCTTCATTTTAAAGAATTCTTTGAAATCAACAAGAAGGAAACTAATGTGAAGATTGGGCAGATCTATTTTTGCATATCTGGTCACAAGTGGACATGGGAAAAAATATTTAGTGTCCCAGGTAGGAAATGAATTTAAGTTAATAGATGAGCAAAATCACCTTTTCCATCCGCAGAGTTTGTGATGATGAGGAGCTGTGGTTCTTACACTGTTGCTTAAAGTTTAAGCTGCTTTTGATTTTTCAGTAGGCAACTTGGTGATAACTAACACACTTACAAATATATATATTCCTTTTACTTATGTGTATTCTAAAAATATCTTTAGGAAGTTGAGACCTATAATGTACAATTTTTTCTAGTGCTGCTTAAAATAGCAACATATTAAGAAAAACTCATAACAGAGTTTATAATTACAGTGTGCCCATAATCTAGAGTATGACCTTTGAAAGTGGCATCCACATAGATGTGTGTTCACAATCAAAGGTGTACTTTAGTAGATCATTTTGATTTACATTCACTTGCATTACACATACACATAGACTGTAGTGTAGTGTTAGCCAAAAACATGTACAAGATATGATGAAATGTTATTTTTGAGCTTTTGTATTTTAAGTGATTTTTTTTTTTTTTTAAAAATCTGTGATTGCTATGTGGAACGTGTATAAAAATTCTAATGAGTTCATTATTAATGAAATATTCCTGGGGAAGAGCAGACATATGAATTTTGCAGAGATTTCACTTTTTTACATTTTTTCTTGAAGGACTAGTATCTTCTGATAACTTTTGGCCTTTCAGAAGTAAATAGAATCTTTTTATATGTGCTTGTAGATTTTATTTAGCATACACTTAATTATATACATTTTTTATTATATAGCTTTATTTTAATTTGTAAACAATTTTTAGTTGTATGTGACTCTAAAAATAGTAAACATAAATGATGATTATCATTATCAGTGCTTTACTTTATAAAACCTTCCTTTGAAGATTTTGAGCAAACTGCACCCTCAGGTCTTTCACACACTTAACCTGTACATTGTTTAAACCTATTGTTCTGAATTCCCAGTTTATAATGTGAGGATACAGGTAGACTTGGCTTTGATAACTTGAAAGTATGTATGTATTAGAGATATTGGGGAGGGCCTCCCCGGTGGCGCAGCGGTTGAGCGGTTGAGCGCTGGGTTGCGAAGCTGCCCGCGCCGGTTCGATCCCCGGCTGCTTCCCGGCCACCGGAGGAGGGTCCCACATGGCGCGCAGACCTCTGCTGCCGCCTGCTGCTCCCCTCAGCAGTGTATACTTCGATCCCTCTGCCTGCTCTGCTCCCCGCGCTGGCTCTGGTGAATTCTCTCACCCTCCCGCGCTTCTGACTGTACTCAGTGCATGTATAAACAAAACAAACAAACAAACAAATAAACAAAGAAAGAAAACATGCCTCTATAAAAAAAAAAAAATGTAATAGAGATATTGGGGAACTTTACTAGAGCTGTTAATGGAGATTATATATAGGTAAATATATACTTATATATGTGCGTGTATGTGTGTATATATGTATATGATGTATTTTGAATTCTCCATCTACATTTATCCATTCTTTTTGTTCATCAGATATAGCATGAATACCTGTTATCTAGTAGACGTATTCTACTACTTCCCAGGACTCTTTCATCCTTAGAAACTAAATGTTGCCCAGCCTAAGTTATGAAATTTAAAACTGAAGAATGTATTAAGACCTAATCTCATTTGAAGCTTTTTCTCCATCCTTTCAAACAAAAGCATTTTGGAGGATAGGAAGTTGTAAAAGACAACTTTGACTTGCTCTTTTGATAATTTATTGTAGTATTAAGTGCTAATGTTAATTATTGGAAAGGTCTGATTTTTCACACCATCCCTGACTCAAAATAATTGAATAAATGAGCTATCCATATTCATGCAAATGTTCAGTTTCCTTTGACTTAAAGTTTCCTGAAAATTGAAGTAAGATTGACTTTTTAAAAATATGCTTTTGTTTTGCTATTTAGTCCCCTTTCTCCAGAATTTTAAAAGAACTATAATTTAGTTAAATGCTAGCCATGTGATTAGAACCGCAACATGAATCACATGCAGTACCGCACTGTGGATTGTGTAATGCCCCTCTATCTTATGTACCAAAGACGTATTTTTTTAACCGCCTCAGTTATAATTGTAAGACATTATGAATTATAAATTGCATTCCAGTGTCGGGGTAAAATATGAGAAAGTGTGCATCTTAGAATTATTAAAGTGCAGTGCTCTCTTTAATCTTAAAACATACTGCAAAGTAGGTATATTTGTATTATTTTTCTTAGTTTAAATGTCTTTGTAAAGTGGTAGTAATGGCAATAAATAGAATAATACTATCTAACAATACTGAGTTGCTTTTTACTGCAGGGATTGTTTAGAACACTTTGAAAGATTGTAACTTAATCATTACAACAGTGCCTGTGAGACAATTCCTTTTCATCCCCATTTTATTCAAGAGAAAATGAGGCATCGAGAGGCTAAGCAATAGCTAATAAGTGACAGAGCAAAGTAGGATTCAAACCCAAAGTGAGCTGAATCCATGCTCTTACTAGTCAAGTGAACTGCTCTTTCACTACTGTGATGAGCAATAAGGGCTAATAATGGTGTACTTTCCAATGGGCATGTGTTTAAAGACATGGGAATTTTGCCATTTAATGTTTACAGTTTTGAGTTAATACACTATAATTTCCTAAAAAGCCTTCTCACTTTCATAGGACTGCTCTCCATTTGGCCTGTGCCAATGGCCATCAAGAAGTGGTAACTCTCCTCGTAGAGAGAAAATGCCAGCTTAACCTCTGTCAGTGAAAACAGGACATCCATGATGAAGGTATGTAGTAGCCAACTGTGTCAGTATGAAATGGACTTGATTAATACAATAAACATGAATTTATCTCATTTAAATAAAACTAATGGGTGAAATGTTTACTTTGAATTCCTAGAATTGACTATCTATTTCTTGTTCCAACACTGACAGGCAGTACAATGCCAGCAAGAGGAGTGTGCAGCCATTCTGCTGGAGCATGGCGCTGATCCAGACCTCGTGGACACCGACGGCAACACTCCTCTGTACTATGCTGTGTGGGGTCACAATGCAGCCATCGTAGCCAAGCTGCTGGGACACAACGCAGATGTTGAAGCCAGAAACAAGGTCTAGACCAACCAACTTTATTTACAAACTATTTGTAGTACTGTTGTGTTGACAACTCCTCACTGACCAACGGGAGTCGTAGAGCAAGCTGTCCAGTGCAGGATGTTGCTGAAGGAGCAAGCTCCCGGCCTTTTATTGATAGAATAATAATACAGCATCAATTGTGTGGGATAGGAGAACAAGGAAAAAGGATGGGTGAAACTGAACAAATGTGCATATGTATCCAGGGTTTCCAGGGGAAGGCGAGTCTGCTGACAAGTGTATTTTTTTTTCTTTTTTTTTTTAACAAATTTTTATTTTATTTTATTTTTTTTTTATAGAGGCATGTTCCTTATTTATTTTATTTGTTTGTTTATTTTGTTTATACATGCACTGGGTACAGTCAGAAGCGCGGGAGGGTGAGAGAATTCACCAGAGCCAGAGCGGGGAGCAGAGCAGGCAGAAGGACAAAAGTACACTGCTCAGGGGAGCAGCGGGCAGCAGGAGAGGTCTGCGTGCCATGTGGGACCCTCCTCCAGTGGCTGGGGAGCAGCCGGGGATCGAACCGGTGCCGCAGAGGCTGCGGGCAGCTTCCCAACCCAGCGCTCAACCGCTGCGCCACCAGGGGAGGCCCCGACAAGTGTATTTTTTTATCCACTTGATGACTCGGTATTGAGATGGAAGCTGTACCTCAGTCCCCATCCTCCTGGTTCCAATCTTATTGATAAGACCTTCAGCTTATCAGTCTCTGGGAGGGCAGGGTTATGCATCAGTCAGTGGCCCTGCACTGGAGTTCCTAGTCATACCTTGTGATTCATACTCATTGTTCCAGGATGATCAAGCGTCCTGCTCCTGTTGAATATGAAAAGAGCCTTGTAGGGTCTGGCAGTCCTACATTCTTTCAAATAATTAATTGACTGGTCTGGACTGACCTTGTATTTTTTTTTTCCTGAGCTTGTATTTGAATGCAGAACTGCACATAACCAAGATGGTGACTGAGCAGGCCTTTTAAATCTAGGAGACCCACAAAGTATGTGTGTTTTGTGTTTTTTTTAAACCACAAAACATTTCATGCGTTGCCAGGGAAACAACTCTAAAGCCATGTGAGGGTTGTGTCCTCCAGGTTGATCTGTCCCTACTTGATTCTTCACTTATTGGGTCACTTACTTTGCTTCCATTAGCACTGAGCTTACGTGCTTGTTTTGTTGTGTATTTTTTTTTTTTTTTAAGATTTATTTATTTAGGGCCTTCCCTGGTGGCGCAGCAATTGAGCGCTGGGCTGCGAAGCTGCCCGCAGCCTCTGCAGCACCAGTTCGATCCCTGGCTGCCGGTGAGGGTCCCACATGGTGCGACAGACCTCTCCTGCCACTCCTGCTGCTCCCCTCAGCAGTGTATTTCATCGGTCTGCCTGTTCTGTTCCCCGCTCTGGCTCTGGTGAATTCTCTCACCCTCCCGCTCTTCTGACTGTACCCAATGCTTGTATAAATAAATAAAATAAATCTTAAAAAAAAAAAGATTCATGTATTTATACAAGAACCAGGGTACAGGAGTGATGCGCGGGAGAGTGAGAGGATTCACCAGAAGATAGAGGGGGGAACAGAACAGGCAGACTGACGAAATACACTGCTGAGGGGAGCAGTGGGCAAGACAAGAGAGGTCTGCCGCACCATGTGGGACCCTCGCTGGCTGGCCAGGATTGAACCTGCGCTGCAGAGGCTGCAGACACTTCTCAGTGCGGTGCTCAACCACCTGCACCACCAGGGGAGGCACTTGTTGTGTATTTTGATGAAGATTTCAAGATTTGAAGACAGTCTTATCAATTTATAATATGTTTCATATTTTTGTTAATCTCTTATAAATGAGTTTGAGTGTTTCCAATTAAAATTTCTCAGTGTTTTTAAGAAGTATACTTACATGTACTCTAAATTATCATATTGTCAATCAAATGTCTACCAGCCTTGATAGGTTAATCACAGTTGAATAGATTATGCATGTTGCACACAATATTTTATCTTTCTCCTCAGTATTCATCCTTAAAAAAGTGCAAGTGATTTAGTAGCTTTTATTTTGCTAAAATAACCCAAATAGGTCATTATTAGAATTTTTATTGGTAAGCCATTGTATTTTTATTTCTAATTAATATTTCTTATAAAATAGAAAGTGATTTTAAGTAGGAATTAAAAATGGAAATCTGAATAAAAGTGGATTTTTAAAAAAGTACATATGCATTAAGTTTCAGAATTACTATAATTGAGAATAAAATTACATACTGAGCTTTCTGACAGCTAAGATAAAAACTTACCAGCTTGTAATAAGGGAAGCCCCATTGGGCCATTTAATAATAAGCAATCAAATTTCATTTGAAACCTGTATCTTTCATTCAGAGCCCATCTCCCTAGTGCCTGAAGGCGACATCTGGGATCTTGATGCCATTGAGGGAAGAGACCCACACAAGGTCATATTAGCTGGAGAAATGCTTTCCCTTTAGTGGAAAATTCTCAAAACTATCACTGCAATTCCTAATTCCTCAAATGTTTGTGTTTGCCACAAAAAAAGTACTATCAAACAGGGATTAAGTAAAGTTAAACAGATTTCATTATCTCTAGAGGTATAATGTTTTCAAATATTTCCAAATCGGGGCCTCCCTGGTGACGCAAGGGTTGGTACGTGGCCTGTGAGGCTGTCCGCAGCCTCTGTGACGAGAGTTCGGTCCCCAGCCGGCCAGGGGGGTGACCCACATGGCGCAGCGGACCTCTCCTGGCTTGGTCGCTGCTCCCCTCAGCAGTGTACTTCCGTTGATCTGCCTGTTCTGTTCCCTGTTCTGTCTCTGGTGGGTCCTCTTACCCCCTACACCTCTGGCCTGTACCCCAGCTCTTGTATGTATAAATGAATGGATCTTTAAAAAAATAAAATATTTCCAAATAATAGATGATCAAGGAATGTTTCCATTGGGGTGTATTCCTTAATTTCTGGTAAGGGTACATATTCTTTGGAATGTAATTTAAGAAACACTAGTCAAGAGATACTCAGCTTGATTATGAATGCAATAAAAATACTTAAAGCATTACTAGTATGTGTAAAGTTTGGAGATAGAGAAAAAAAAATTAGCCTGTGACCCCAAGAAGCTCTTGGTTTAGAGGGGGAATAATAAATTAAATACAATATACCATGGTAAAGGCTGTGATAGAAGTATTGTTCTTGGAGGCAGTAAGCGTTGGAGTTTGCATTTATTGAAAAGATGGAGCAAGAGAAAAAGGAGGAGGAGCACATGAGAAATTACAGAGGTGTGAGAACAAATGGGTCACTTTTTCTTACATTCTGTATTACATGTTTTAATTCATATTATCTGTAAGTATTAAAATTCAGTTTAAAAATGTGTGACTTAGAAATTCTAAACTGTTTTTACTGTTTTACAGGATGACCTCACACCACTTTTACTTGCTTTAAGTGAAAACAAACAGCAAATGGTAGAATTGTTGGGAAGGAGGGAAGGAAATAGACATGCTGTAGATAACATTATAAGGTACAGTAATTTTTTTTGAACTTTAGTATTGTTTAGCGTGGTAACAGTCACTCAAATAAGAAGGATTAAATCATTAAGAGAATTAATTTATAACCCTGACATATATTGAAAAAATCAGTAAGTCATCAGGAGGAAAAACAGTTATTCTGATGGGCAATATATAAAAGTATATAGCAAAATTTATTCCTTTTTAATGTTGCTGATATCACTTACAATCTGATTCTTTTAGTCCTATGATTAGCTAATGGAGTATTAGCTAATGGGGCTTTGTATTTTGTAAATTGTGGACTCCAACTTTTAGTTTATGGTACAATTGACTTTCTTAACTTTTATGGTATTTCTTTAACCTCTACTTAATATATTTTTCCTTTAAAGCTGCATTTGATGCATAACTAAGAGTTGATTTGGTTTCCATTCACCCTACTGCTGCAGTATAGCTAGTCTGCTATGCTGCTAACAGGCTGGTCCTGCTGGTCTGGTAGTGATTGACCTTTGTTCCCAGGATAACCTTGCTGGTCCAGATTCCTCAGCCTTCATGGTGATCTGCATTTAGACTTCAAAGCTGCAATTTTTTAAAATTCCCTACATATGTTTCCATCACTGCTTCAAAGCACTGACAGGTGGGCCTCCCAACTTTAGTCAAAGATAACCTTTCCCCCTCCTTCAAAACCCTTATGTAGAGTCCCTATCTTTGCCCAGACTGTAGCAGTAAGTTATCCTTCTAGGATCTTTGATTTTCCCGCTAGTAGGTATTAGTTGGGGCCATTCTAAGCTGTAGAGGGGTTCAAACAATGCTGCAGGAAGAGATCAGACTTTCCCTTCTCCTGTGTTAGCAGATGTGTATGCTACTGCTGCTTTACGTCCTGTGACACCTTTTCTTGGTTGTGGAAAATCCCATATCATTCTGAGATAGTGGGTGCCAACATGCCTGAGATTCCACAATTAAGACTGAGCTCTCCAGTGATCTATTTCCTATACAAATGAAAATTCCCCTACGTGACTTATATTTATGTCAAATTTCAAATTATTTTCTGATTCTGCCTTAAAAGGAAATCACTCAGCAGAAATCTCTAGATCTAAAGTAAGTTAGTTGACAATGGGAAAGCCAAGACCCATCCATGATTCACCAGTATCCATGAGTTATAAAAGTTAGATTATATTTTCCAAGTCAGTTAGAGATGAACACGGCAGTGAACACTATTCCAATAAAGATCTGCTGGTTCAGGGTTTGAGTAGGTAGAGAAGGAATAGTAGTAGTCAAAGCCAGGTTTGTCTTCTTAGTTTTCTGCTCTTGTTGTGATTAGCTAAATTATGCTATTTAATGAGGTGACATTTATAATAAATTTAGTTACAGATTTGTAATAGCTAAAACCTTGAGTTACAAACCACAAAGAAAGCCACTAATAACCCGAATTAATAACATTTTCTTGAAACTGCAATATTCGTTGTCAGAACTTATGAAAAAACACACATTCAGATTTTGGGGGGATTCCAAAGTTGTTCCAGTGGTAAAGTTCAAGGACAAATTATTCTATTGCTTCACTATTTGTCTTATCATTTTCGGGAGGCCGTATCATCTCATTAAATCTTCTAATAATCTGATTGCCTTTAAAATAAGGCAATCGCATCCCTGTTTTATGGTGAAAGGTTTTGAGCTGAAGGGAAGTGACTTGTCCAGGAGGAAATAGCTGTTGGTTATAGAGCTTTGGACTCGTTCTGAGTTCAAGGCGTCTTCCACTGTGTGTGAGCTCCTGAGTTATACTGCCCTCATTTCATGACTGCTTCACCTTCCTCTTTTTTCTTCTTTAAATTATGGGTTTTTTTTTTTTTTTAAGATTTATTTATTTATTTATACAACCACTGGGTACAGTTCGAAGTGCGGGAGTGTGAGAGAATTTACCAGAACCAGCGCGGGGAACAGAACAGGCAGAAGGACCAAAGTACACTGCTGAAGGGAGCAGCAGGAGTGGCAGGAGAGGTCTGTTGCACCATGTGGGATCCTTGCCGGTGGCCGGGAATCAAGCTGGTGTTGCAGAGGCTGTGGGCAGCTTCGCAGCCCAGCAGTCAACCGCTGTACCACCAGGGAGGCCCCTTTTAAATTACGTTTTGTAAAAATTTGTAGACCATACAAATTTGAAGTATACAGGATAATTATCCTTTTGATACATGAAACTACTATTAAAATAGTAATATGATTATCACCTTTTTTTAATCACAGCAATCATCAACTAATTTCTCAATATGAAGTAGAAGAGACTTCATTCTTCTCCAGCAATTAGCAATGCAGGTAAGACTTTAGATAGTGAACGACTCTTGGTGTTCCTACCATAGGTAAAGAAAGGAAAAATAAGGGAGTTTTGATAATGAAAAAGATTAATGTGCTCAATTACATGTATATTAAATTCTTCATAGTCTGGCTTTCACAATTGTTTAGAAAATTAATTGTAGATAATTGAAAATCTGAGACAATGTTGTCTTTCTGAAAAAAAAAGAAAGTCACTTATTTAGTTCCCATGGACCCTAAAATACCATATAATACCTTTTATAAAAAAGAAAAAGGTTATTAGTTAGTATGCTATATGTTCTTCCTAATAACATCATAACAAATGGGACTTGTTTTAAAAATGATCTTTATTCAGTTTTTCCAACAAGTGGATTACATATGTTAAATGTAAATTAATTATTACATCATGCTTTTTCTCACTAAAAAAGTAACTATATCTTGTGACTCCCTGGTGGTGTAGGTGGTTGAGTGCAGCACTGTGAGGCTGTCCGCAGCCTCTGCAGTGCCTGTTAGATCCCTGCCAGTGTCAGAGATACCCACATGGCACCACAGATCTCTCCTGTCTCTCCCGCTGCTCTGTATTTCAGTTGTTCTGCCTGTTCTGTTCCTCCCTCTGTCCCTAGTGAATCCTCTCACCTCCCGCACATCTGGCCTGTACCTCGGTTCTTGTGTAAATCAATACATCTTAAAAAAAAAAAAAAACAACAACTATATCTTTTAAAACTGGAGGCTCAACAACACCTGTCGGGTACTCTAAATAGGTAGCAAACAAACAAAAAATAAAACTGCAAAACTTAGCCAGTATGCACCAATACCAAGAAAAGATCTTTTTTTTTAAGATTTATTTATTATTATTTTTTTTGTTTATGCAAGGGCTGGGGTATAGGCCAGATGCTCGGGAGGGTGAGAGGATTCACCAGAGACAGAGCCGGGAACAGAACAGGCAGACTGATGAAATACGCAGCTGAAGGGAGCAGTGGGCGAGACAGGAGAGGTCTGCTCACCATGTGGGTTGCTCTGAGACCGGCAGTGGGGATCGAACCGGCACTACAGAGGCTGCAGACAGCTTCACAGTGCTGTGCTCAACCGCCTGCGCCACCAGGGAGGTCCAAGAAGAGATCATTCTTAAGATGATCTATTTAGGGCCTCCCTGGTGGTGCAAGGGGTTAAGCAAAGCACTGTGAAGCTATCCTCAGCCTCTGCAGCATGAGTTTGATCCCCACCGGCCAGGGAGCTACCCTGACTCGCCTGCTGCTCCCTTCAGCAGTGTTTTTTCAGTCAGTCTGCCTCTTCTGTTCCCCACTCTGTCTCTGGTGAATCTGCTCACCCCCTGCACTTCTGGCCTGTACCCAGTTATTATATGCATAAATAAATAAATCTTTACCAAAAAAAAAAAAAGATACCTATTGATAGTATAGAAATCAAAAAAGTAGTAACAAAAGTTACTTGTTATTGTTTTTGGTTGCTGCTTAATAAGTGCCAGATGTTTTAAATTCTTGGTAAGGAATTCGAGTTTTTAAAAAGTGAACAGTAGTGCAAAGACTTTGATGCAGGAGTGAATTTTGCAGAATTCATAAGCTGTTCGTTTTATTGGTATGAAAAGTGTGCTCTGGGAATGGCTGGAAAAGAGGTGAATAACTAGCGAGGGCAAGCTGATGACAGCCTGATGGTAGTATAAAGGAGGGACTCCTCCCCTGAACCCTGTGCACCTTGGGAGATTTATCAGGTAGAAGAAGGCTTTTAGCAACAGTTAACAGGTTAAATGACAGTTAAATAACAGTGGCTGAAATGATAGGAATCAGCATTGTTTGGGGGTTCAGTGATATCATCAGGATTCCAGTTGTCCCTCTTTCAGTTGTGGGGTTGGGGGTGTTTTGTTTGTCTGCTTGCCTGGTTGGCTAATAGCAGTGATTCCAAGCATCATATTCTCCCATAACAATATCCAGAGGCTAAAAGGCTGCTTTTCTTCACGTGTCTCTTTTAAACAGGAAGTAAACTCAGAAGCTTGTAGTAGACTTCCCCTAACACTGTATTGGTTGGATTACATCATAAGCACACCATAAACCAGTCACTGGTAAAGGAAACGTGGTTACTGTGATTAGCTCAGGACAATCATTTCTCTTTGTGGAACTGTGGAGGGGCTCCAACTTGAGTTTCTTCAACAATAGCAAAGAGGATGAGAATGGCTGGCTATTAGGGAAGGTGCTAGCTCTGTTTGTCACAGGGATTCATTGAAGAATTTTCAGCATTAGAGTAACAAGCTTGGACTTGAGAGTTAGGGCACTGTGGTTATTGTATAAAGCAGGAATTAGAGAGCTTTTCCTGTTACTAAAGGCCTGTTACTAAATGTTTTAATCCATGTACTCTTTGTCATGTCTGCTCAACTCTGCCATTGTAATGGGAAGCAGTCACAGGCCATAAGGGACTAGATATGACTGTGCTCCAGTGAAGCTTTATTTTTAAAATCAGATGCAGGGTGGAGTTTGTCTATGGGCCAGAGTTTGCTAACCCTTCATGTAAAGGTTGAAGGAAATCATAAAGAGATTGTGAGATGAGTTTTTTGGAGCTAGTATTAGTCCATTCTGAAGTTTTCACATATCCATGCTGAAATAAGTCAAGTCAGCAAGCTCAATTTATTCCATTTAAAATGCTGATTTTTTTCATGGTGGGTGAGTGGTGATATATACAATTGGTGATGTAAGATATTGTACCCCTGAAACGTCTACAGTTTTGGACACTGTTACCTCATTAAAATAAAAAGGGGGAAAAGGTGGGTTTTCTAGGCTTTCTGTCTCAGTTGTTTTGCTCTAAAAATGTATTCATTATGAAATAACAGTAATTATTGTAGGTGGTTTTGGGCTTTAGTTTGCGCTTTTTTCCTGTGCAAGCCATAAGGGAAGAGCCATGCTTGCCCAGAGGACTAGAGTGGAAATGTAAAGGAGAGGCAGGTAAAGAACTTAGTGATTATTGAGTATAAAAAGTTAAGGGAGCTAGAGACAAATCCAAGATGATTCATAGGATTCTGGGGTGAGCCCTAGCGTTTACCTTGGACAAGAATGAGTAGGACTTTGTCTCATGAACAAAGAAGAACATCAGGTCAGCAGGGAAGACCAACATTTTTCTTGGCTACTTGGATAATAGCTAAAGCTCAAGGTTAGAGATACATATTTGAAATAATCTTACAGTAATTATAAGGCAGCATCATAGATCTGAATGAACTGTCTGTGATGAAGAACATATGGATTAAGGAGAAGGCCATTGACAATACCTTGGGAATACCAGCCTCAATGGATGGTCAAGGAAGTTAATAAAATGACTGAAGAATGGACTCAAGAACAGTAAAACAGGAATCAGGAAGCAATGTTACAAACATTTTTTTAAATTGGAATTTTAAGGAGGAGAAGTATCAGTTGTATCAAGTAAATATATTGAAGAGTAAGTTGGATTTAATTTTTAAAATCTCTTTGATAGTAATTTTTAAAAGAACAATTTTAGCATCCTAGATCGACTATTTAAGTGACTGGTACATTCAGTGTCCAAATATGGAAAAGTAATCACATCTACCAAGGTCATGACAACCTTTTTTGTAAGGATAGTGCTACATACACACCTAGGGTTGGGGAAAGTGTGTCCTAGTGAGTACACATGCCAACATTTTCCATAATTGTCAAAACCTTGGGATACACCGTGAGAAAAACGATTGTCTTTCCTACTTGCTTTTTGTGGAAATGCTTGTGTTTTTCTCACATTCTGGATGCATTCCCCTGGAGGCATACTGAAATGAAAATTTGGCCAACACAACCTCAAGCCACTGTCAGACCCTAATTTATAGGGGATCATACCACAACCATGTTTTGATAGTTTCATGTTTTGATCAGATTTCCTCTACAGACCCACAGTTTGGAGACACTGGGATCTCCAAAATATTTTATTGCAGAAAACTAATATACCAGGAGAAAATAGTATTTCTGAATATACTAGTTCTCAGTTATTTGGGAATTCTCATGATATTAGTAAAAAGTCAGTCCCTGACTATTTTAGTGCTATATCTCAGGATTCTCTTTTCATTTGCCTACTCTTTAGTGTTGCCTTCTAAATGTCATCCTGTGGAAAATTGTCTTGGAATCTACCGCAATCAGAACACATGAAAACATATCTATGTTTGACAAAGATGTACATTTCCTTTTAAGGTCATTGGTTACCTAACCAAACGTTTATCTCATAGTCTGTTAGTTTCTTATGGTGAATATCTTTGTATCTGCATCACAATCTCAGAACTACTGATGATGGTCTGCCAGGATTAAAGTGTCTTCTGGATTATCAAACACAAAGATTTATCTGGCATAGTTTTATTGTGAAGTGCTTTTTAGATATTACATTTTTTCAGAAATTGATCACCTGTGGCTTAACTAGATTATGTACTCAATTAGATTACCAAACTTTCCAACCATCCACATATAAGATAACTCAGTCTCCCTCAGCCATCAGTTCTGTTGATTGTAAATGATCAAGATCACTGTGTACAGGGTGGAATAACAACTCATCCTACATTTTGGGTGCATTTTTCTTTTCCTTTTTTTCATTTTGACTCCTTCTGTCAACAACTTCCTGTAATAAGTGAGTGGTGGCTTTTGTTTCATAAGAATTAAGAAAAAGTTTAGAAACAAAAACTATGTAACAAGTAGTACATTGTTATACTACCTGTGATAGTTATTCATTTTTCCATAATTACTTCAGTGACCTATTTGATTCATAACTATTATAAAAAGGACTTAAACCCTGCATAGTTGGAGAAAATTGAGCGTGTTGTCTTCATAGCTTTCGTGGTGTAGGCCATTTTGCCAATTATCAGTGCTTTTAAAAATTCTGATTAAAATAGGATTGTTGCTTATTTCACATTCTTTTCTGACTTTGTTTCCTGTATCCCTTTTATGCCTTTCTTCAAATTGACAGAAGTACAGGAACCTGAAAGACAGATAACAAGAAAAACAGAATTAAACAAA